TTATATTTTTAACATTATGTGAATCGGGATGTATTTGCTCTTCTCGCAATAATTAGCGTTATTTCTCAGCCACAATCAGAGAAAATGTTGAAAAAAAAACAATTCTACAGGAATAGTTACAAAAACAAATATGTATGAAGAAAATCTATAAAGAAGGCAAAACTCATATCTACGCAAAGAGCAAACCAATTTCTCAGGAGTTTCAAATGGTTAAACACATAAAGGCACTTTTCTTTTTGTGCGAGATACTTCATCGTGTGTTTCTAATTTGGTACAACTGTGTCAGGTTTGAAATTGTGAACGCTATTCAAATTACAGGAAGATCATCTCGACCAACATTAAAGTAAATATTCAGACGACGTTAAAGCGGGAGGGTCGTCACCTGGGCACGCGCGGGAATTGAGTCCCAAGCGATGATAACAACACATGCTAAAACGCAAAGGCACATGGGTAGACGCTTGTAAGTAAACGCTATGGCCATCTGACGCATGCGCAAGTGGCGACTTCCCCGCTTTAGGCAAAGCGGCAAATTACTCCTAATTTGAAGGCTGAGGCAAGGTGCATTATCACGGTAATATCGCCTGCCCCGTCATTTCATCATTCAAAATCGAAACGCCTCGCATGTTTACTTTGCCATATATTTAACGCACGCGCATATGAGTGACGCTCAGCTCATTAATAATTTAACCAATGAATACCTACATTCACTGTTTATGTATATATACTTCCAGTAGTTATACCACAATTAAAAATTAAATCTCCAATGCTTTCGCATGAGTATACTAATCCCGAAACTAATATTTGTCATCGCTACCAATACAGTACATGATGTTTCTCGCCCCCCCCCCCATGACATACATAACAAATCAAATGTTGGTAACATTGTGCCCCCTGTATACATTGTATTTTACAAACACAAGTATTCCGATCACACCCCTGATTGGTTACACGAATACACGGCAAGGTAAATGCTCATGTCAATTAAATGTAAACACGTTCAGCATGCGTGACTCGAACCGATGTAACCACACAGCGTAACCTCAGATTTGGCTGTACAAGATGGTGAAACACGAAAGTAATTGTTCATCCATTATTAACAGTGAATAAATACTGAGAAATATATTTCAGAACTTATTCGGTTGTGTTACTAACAGTTTTGTATTATGACAAATATTAAACTGTTATTTTTAGAACATTTTAATATAACATAATTATTCACAATTCAAAAATGTGTTATCGCTTTTTAAAGTCTAGTACCCCATCAGTTATGATATGTCAGCCACCAATTTGAGGTTTTGCACTATAGTATCTGTACCAATGGCGAGACCGTTGTAATATTTTGTGTTGTTGTCAACACTCTCAAGTTGCCTGGGATGACAATGTATTGAAAAGTGAACAGATTCAGGGTAGTTTCATTAATGCTTTTTGCCACAAAACTGGATTTTGTGCGATGCCTATTTCCAGTACAATGCGTACGCACCAAGTAGCATGCAATCATGAAGGTTAACTGAGAAGCAACCAAGTAAGCCAACGATTGCCCAAATGTACAATGTTCGTTGATTTGTTGATCTTCATTTTTTTTTCTATTTTGTGTTTATATTTCAGGTATATAGCTGGTGTATAACTAACCCAAGTATTTTGTATATGTTAATTTGTTTTGTTTTGTTCCTCGACACATAATATCGTTGAGGTGTTTCGAAATGTCTTTTGGATTATGACGCCGCACAATTGTTTTGAAACATAAAATGGTCATTTTTATTCATATTGTGAAACAAAAATGACGAGCTCTGATCATCGCTGTGGGTGATGGCTATACCAAGTCAAAGGTCGACAGAACGAAAAATAAATCGACGTGCACATGTATGTCATTATGACATGTCATTTGTGTCAACTGACACCGGACGCTCAGGCGAGTTTCCGTTTCGGAATTCGATCCAACTGGAACTAATAATTAAAAAATATCCAGAATAATTTTGGAAAATCTATTAATATTCGGGAAATTTATGTTTATTATCTTGTTTATAAGGGCCACTAGTAGCCATTTAATTCGCAGTGATATGTAAAAGTATGTGCACTAATTTGGTGGGGGACATTTCGCCAATTCGTTGATGAACACGACAAAACTCAAACAAGTTACTGTCAAGATATTCTCTCATAACTTACCATTCCTTAAATGACCAGATATTAATTCCTTAATATTGCCAATATGAATCTAAAACTTAGTGAGGCCAATGTCCCGTGTATGCCATTAGCAACTATTTGCCGTGTAACTGTAATTACGACAACAATATCTACAAATATTTTATAATGAATTTTGCCTTGTATATATGCTTTGTTTGTAGTCTGGGAATTAGAGGGACCCGACACTCGACCCTTTCTTTTAGTCCGTGGGTAAATAACTGGTACGAGTAATTATCTGAAATCTCTACACAATTGTACGAGAATTATAATTCAATGAAGAGAATAATTAAATATTTAATTATTCATATCACTGTGGTCAGTTTAACAAAATAATCAGTTTGAGAATTTCACAGACTCGGGATAACTTCAGGGAACAATATGACAAATGAAATGCATGTTTGTTTTCCAACTATTTGAATTATATACTCTGCGTCCTCGTAAGGGTGTCACGTGATGATGTGTGGGTTTTTTCAAAAGTATTTGATAATAACTAGTACTTATTTGGACATCAACTTTGTGTTTTTTCAACCCTGTACACATTTGGGGAGTGAAAACTGTTTAAAAAATGCAAAAATGGACTTATTTCCTTAATACGAGCTAGTTAAAATTCGTATAATTACATATAATTGTTGAGGTATGATGGGACCTGGTTACCATAGAAACAAATGGGTACAACACAAATGTTTGACTCATTTTTGTTTGTGTATTTATTTGTTTGTGTACCTTATTTTTTTTATTTATGTTTTGTAAGAAAATGAAATCAAATTATATTGTATGCGTCGAAAATATGTTTTAATAGTAGCAAACACGTGTACAATACATTGCTTAATTACACGAAATTCGAACACGCGCTGCGCGACGAACAACGCCCTCTCTTAATATATATTGCTTCTGATATGATTGTCATTATTGCCGTGTTGATATGCAGCTGTAAACTAATATGTCACGTGACAACACTTCCGCCAATAGACTCCTAACGTTTCGCGGCACCAAGTCAGCTTATTGTTTCGTGATGACATGTCATTCGAGATTGTTTTTCGTCTGGCCACCTAATAGTGCAAATTTATAACTGTAATTTTCTTATTTTGTTCATCAGGACATGGGAACGGAAAATATGGGTTCTGAGAGGGATCTGCTTCCAATCGTCATTATAAATGTTATTTTGATACTGATCATAGCAACTGCGGTGTTTGGAAACGTTCTTGTTTGCGTGGCCGTTTACAGAAGCCGGGCTCTTCGCAATCAGGTTTCTAACTTGTTTATCGTCAACCTAGCGCTGACGGATTGCTGTAACGCCGTGCTAGTGATGCCCGCATCGCTCGCATCCACGATCACCAACAGGTGGGTGTTCTCATCAGAATGGTGCAACGGAGTTTGTTTTCTAAATTATTGTTTCATTATCGTCTCGATGTGCACGCTCGGATTAATCTCGCTGGATAGATATTTCGCCGTTGCACAGCCCTTACATTATCAGACTATAGTTACCAGAGTGAGGGCGTGCGTGTTTATCGCTTCTACGTGGGTGCTGGGGTTTATTTTTGCATCCCCGCCGGTATTCATGAACTGGATCTGGTACGATAATTTTGAGGTCGTCTGCGCTATTAACTGGGAGGAAAACAACGACCAAGTGGTAATTTACACGCTTTCCGCATTTGCAATCTGTTTCTGTGTTCCCGCCATTGTCATGATGTTCTCATATTACGGGATATATAAAATCGCGAGGAAACACAGTCGTCTCATTGCGGCTGAAAACGATCGAATGGCCGCAGTTGCAGAGAAAATTGACCAGGACAAACAAGTCTCTCAAATAGATTCGCAAGTACAACTTACTAATAGCAGTCATCTATCAGACTCTGGAAAAAACACTGGAAAGCAAGAAAGAAACAACAAGAAACAATCACCGCGTAAAGGAAAAGCCACAAGAACTATCGTAACGATGGTGGCCGTATTCTTCATTTGTCTAACGCCGTTCTGTATAACCAAAGTGCTAAAAGCGGTATATAAAGACAACGGCGTCGTCGGGATGTGGGTAAACACGCTGGCTACTCTGCTTGCTTATTTTAACTCGTGTTGCAACCCTATAATTTATTCGATAACACGACGCGACTTTCGTCGTGCTTTCATGGTCACTTTACGTTGCCTGAGGAAATATGGTAAAACACCCAATGAAGTAACAGTTTTCAACATATCTGTTTTTCGAGACAATGAGTGAACCGACGGCATCGGATGAGTCGTGCATTCATGTATGGAATTCGCTCACAGGTGTATTTGGTTGGAATGGAGCAAGTTGGTGATCGTTTCCATGACTGTTGTTACTATACGACGCACATTAAATTAAGTAAGACATTTCACTTTTGTTCAACAAATATTTAGATATAGTTAGTAATAATTTTACAATCATGGGGCTAAACATCAATATTGTAATCGGAAGCGGTGAGTGGCGTAAAATCGCGGGCTTGCAGCAAGTTAAATTTCTTAAAGGGCAGTGGTCGTCGCACCACACATGCACGAGACATGGGTCTCATATACACAAAAAGGTGAGTTCGACTGTTGCTCATACCGACGAGTACAGGCTTAAATATTTGGTGATTGTAATGTATCGAATGAGTGCCAGTCATGAGTGGCGCCCAGGTCAAAACTCGTACTCGTGATTTCATTAGAAAGGCGCATTGCATTGTGAAAAATCAATGTTTATCAAGACAAGTGTTGCGTATGCGCAACGCGACGACCACGGCCCTTCAATAAGTTTTAATTCGGTTTAGGAACTTTGTCTGCGTCCCGAACTGGACTTCCATACGAACCGTTCTGTATGTCATGTAAGTTGTTTTAATCATGTTCGTTTTATATTATGGGGAGTTACATTTTGTCAGTTTTTAGGTAAAAGTCGTTTGTAATTGAGCTGAAAACGTTCAGTAGCCAAATCGTTCAAATCTTATGTTTTTTGTTAGCCAATGGGTTTTCTTTTTACCGCGTTTTATCTGAAACGTGATGTATGAGGGCGTACTTCAATTTCGTCAGCTGTTGGACTAGTGTGTGAAGCTTTGTTTATTGACAAGTACCGGTGACCTGTGGATCTGGGCAACTTTCAATTAGACGCTTTCAAAATCGCTGCATTTCTGAGAATATTGGTAGAAAGCCTGACAAATCTGTGTGCTTTGTTTACATGTATTTTGTAAGAGTAGCTGGCCAAAATGTGTTGTACTGGTCATGGCCAGAGTTTTATTACGTACACGTGGTTTCAACAAATTAAATCACTATTTTGATTTTTGTAACCCGTTTTTTTTTTGGAGAAATTCACCCAAACGCTAACATTGTCGTCTGTGGAGTTCAATTAGTGGTATGTGCTCTTATATTAATTGGAAATAGTAATGAAACGATGAACTACGCATGCGCTGTGAATTAATAGTATCCACGGCGATCAGTATCGGCACATGAATTGAATAAATATACACGGAAACTCAGGGAACTGCGGAAACTAATGACCCAATTTATGTATGACCGTGAACGAAAACAGCACTTGAGCAACAAACAGAAAATAATTCATTCCGAAGTTTCCGGAAATTGGCTATCAATGACGTCATGAATACCACTCTTGTCATCGATAGGCCATTCATTTAATGGATAGCTCGATGCATTAATGATTCACCGTTAGTATGCCGAATTTGAAAACATCACAATCACCCGTTGTCTACGTTACTAATAGCGATTTCAGATAAAATTGTTAATGTGTTGAAGCTGCTAAGAGAAACAGAAAAGTATTCACAGATTACACCCAAACTAGAACCATGACGTCAATCTGAACGGATATTGCAAGACACTGTTGGTGTTTTTTATTGATATTTCAAACACAAAATATATTTTACGTGCGAAAAATATTGTCGGATTATTTACTTTCTTTACGATCCAAAACGCAAAGAACAGAGTGACACTTGTCACAACTGAAAATGCCAAAAAATGGAATAAGAAATACTAGTATTTACAAGAAATACAACAATCACGACGATTCAAGCATTACTAATATAATATGCGGCAGCTTATTGTGATAGTTGCCCCCCTCCAATTCAGGTTACTCGCCATCGCGTGCACAAGTGAAATATGCGCATCACATTTTTTTCAAAATTTACGAAAATAATGTAAACTCTTTAGACAAAATAAAAAAACAAACAAAAAAAACAAAAACAAGCGTGCATCAATTTTAGACACAAGATAGTAAGAAACTCGAGAATTTTTTTTTCGGCCCATGTCTAGCAGTAAAACACTTTTTTGTAGTTTTTTTCCGCCTATTAGAGGTTATAAAGAACGAATACAATAAACTTATTATTGGGGATTTTGAGTTTTAAAAAATAAGAATGAGAGTTCCTCCAGGTCTTGACAACCGTTACCAACGACTATGCCATCTTTGTGTTTTTCAGGTGTGCTGAGATATGCGACTATACTAGTTGTCGACAGCCCCTAAAGGACGTCACCCCAGCCTGGGTCATGAGAAGTGGACTTCTACCTCTCAGCTACAGTGAATATTGATAAGCGACATCTGTCGTGCATGAAAAACTTTGTTCGTGGAACCCCAAATTGACTGCCATTTTTTTAGTTCCTATTTTCGTTTTAACAGGTATATATTCGTCGAACAAATTGTCCCCCGTCTATGACAACATATAAGATAATACTGTAAACGAATATAAAGCAGATGACACCAACAGTATTATGCTCTTGTTTGGAGCTAGAAATGGTTAAGTGGTCGTGTCATCGATGTATTCGTAGCGTCCTCGTTCAAGACTCTATGTCATACGGCTCAAGGTACTCATTCCAGGTCGGAACATTCGAGTCATCAAATAATGGTCGACTAGTGACGTCATTGTGAACGCCGGTCATCATTCAATACAGTGTCAATATAACGGTTGTGTTCAACTAAATTCTTTATTATAATTTACAAGACTGGAATCCATATTTATGGCGGGA